CAGTGCTTGTTATTATAAAATGTGCAGCGTACTCGATGGCAGAGAAGAAACCTGAGATCTTTTAAACTGACATGTATTGTGCATTGTGATGGATATTAACGACGCTCCGAGGACACACTGTGTATCTGTGTGATATTAAAATGTCATCGGTCTGTGACGGGGACATCACGGTCTAACAGACTCGGATTTCTTCTTCAGCCACCTGACTCTCAAAGCTCACAGCCGAGGTCCAGTGTGAGCGAGGGACACAGAACGATCTTGATGATCGTGAGGTCACAAGGTCGTATGCTGAATTTTCATTTGATTACCAACGCACAGCATTTTTATTTTGCTGGAGCTTCAGCATCAAGAGCATGGCTTTGTTACTAGATATGAAGATGACCTGGAGAATCAACGTCACAAACATGATCAGAACGTATCCACTTTTAAAGCAACCCGTGACTGCTGTGTCTCAGATCCCTGTTCTGTGTGTGGAGCTCATTTATTATATCTTTAAAGAGTCATTTAACGCCCAGCCGACCTCCAGATCTGTAACTTCTCACCTGACTGCTTGTAATTTCTTTCTCTAACCCAGTTTAGATGAAACTGTGCCTGCTTTGGTTATAGGGCCGTCGAGACGTTACGTTTAATCTAAACTGAGAGGAAAGAGATGCCACCCAGATGCGCTGATGGACACGTGAAGCCCAGGATTTCAGGCATTGATAGAACTTTGTGTAGGTTTGAAAATGATGCATTCAGGTCAATGTCAAGTCAAAAAACTACGGTGGCCCTGAGAGGTCAACTCACTGCAGATTCCACATGCAAATAGACAAAATACTGGCAAATTGCTGCAGTTTTCACCTCCGACGATATAATGTTTGAACCATGAGCACGTTCATCTGGTAACATTCGAGTTAGTGTTGAGTACTGTGGAGTACTGTAGTACTGTGGAGTACTGTGGAGTACTGTGCGTGAAGGTGCTGACGCTGCTAGAAATACCCTTGTTACCATGGCAATGAAATAATGATTTGAGCCGGTTCATCCATTTCCTCATTTCAAATGGTAACAACCTCTGAACACCCACGTCTACAAACCAGTCAGTCAAGTATAGGTGGACACAGCCCACGTAGGTGATGACGACAGGATGTACATATGTCAGAGAAAATGATTTAGACCCTAAATTACAATGTGAAACCAAAACTAACGAGAACCTCGGTTCAGACCACGTTCCAGACTTCAGGTGTGAAAACACCCTGAAAGACCAAATCACAGTTTTTCTGTCTTGAAGTTTCAGTTTCGGAGTTCGTGCATCAAAATGAATCAGTGGGAAGAAGTTGATTGGATGATCCAACATTTATAATCCAACGCTGATAAAAACATGACTAACAACTTTTATTTGAATTTAAACACTAACTCGTGACTTTGTTGGAGTTGTGATAAAACACGTTACTAAGTTACTTCCTGATCTCTTTCCTCTCTCAGTTTCCCTGAAGTCGTTTATCTCACTTCTCACCGCCTCCCCTCCTCCAGCTGTTCAGGTCCTTCTGTTTTCTCTTTCTTCTCTCTCACTTTATTTGTCTTATTTCCTTTTCATTACAACTGTTTTCCTCCTCGTCAAGCTAGAGTCCTTTCATTTCGATCGAGGTCTTTCAGCCTTTTCTGGTTGTAAAAGTTAAAAACAAGCGGCCCCTCGTTGCCTCTCGTCTCAGCAGTGCAGTTTGAAGACGATCAGGACAATCCTCTTGTACTCCTTCCTGAAGTTGTGGTTCAGGGCGCCGTAGACGACGGCATTGAGGCAGCTGTTGAAGTACGCCATGAAGTAGCTGGCCGTGAACAGCCACTCCGGTATGGCCTGGCCCAACCTGGAGTCCAGCGCCACCGCCAGGCCGATCAGGTTCAGCGGCGCCCAGCAGACTGCGAAGAGCACGAACACCACGAACATGGTCAGAAAGTTGCGGAGGTCGTGCGGCTTGATTTTTGGTCGAGAGTCAGGCTTGACTCTCCGCCTCACCTGGATGACGAGGATCCAGATTCGCAGGTAGCAGTAGGTGACGATGCCGATTGGAAGGATGAAGTGCACCACGACCACTGTGATGGTGTACAACGAGCTGACCGACTGGGCAAAGGTGCAGGAGTACACTCGAGGGTCGTACTGGAGGGACTCCACAAACCAGTTTGGCACGATGGCGAGGATGGTGAGCGCCCAGACGAGCACCACGTAGCACATGGTGTTACTGTTGGAGAAGAGCTTGTCGTACTTGAGGCTGTGGCAGATGTAGCAGTAGCGGTTGATGGCGATGCCGGTGATGTTGAAGATGGAGCCGATGACGCTGAGGCCCATGAGGAAGCCACTGATCTGACAGTGGAAGTAGCCGGCGATCCAGCCGTCGTGGAAGATGGCGGTCAGGACCAGAGGGTAGGGATAAATGGCAACCACCAGGTCAGCGAGGGCCAGGCTCACCACGAAGGCGTTTCCTGTGGAGCATGAAGAGGAAGAGGTGAGGTGTGTAACAATGATTCTGCTTCATCTTGGAAATAAAACTGTGTTTGAGACGACTTTGGGTAGAAATCAGAGTAAGAGCAGTGTGTGATGTTTTCTGACAGCGAGAGGGAGACATGGAAGAAGCTGAGAACACAAATGTTTAAAGTGAGTTTATTCAACAACATAAAAATCTGCAAAACACAGACAGAACGAAAACAAAACAGAGACACAGACTGAACACAAACAGGAAGCAGGTGAAGAGGAGCAGAAAACGAAATAGTCTGCGAGTAAAAAAAAAGACATAAAACCAAACTCTCCTCCTACGACTTGACTTTAACATCATCTGGATCATTAAACCTCATCAATAACACCTTTTATGCCTCCAGCATCGTTACAGGCTAATGCAAACAACTGTCCAACACACACACACACACACACACACACACACACAAGAGAGTTTCTATCTCATATTTATTTACTCTTCAGTATTAAACTATCAGGCGTTTTTCTTTTGTCAGCATTATTGGTTCTTTGTGTGATCGTCTTTTCTTCTCGTCCCTGCTGATATCATCTGTTTCCACTCACATGAACTAAACAAATGCTTTTATGTTGAAGTAAAAGGCAGCAAACATAAATTTACATTTGCATTAATCCAGAAATCACACAGGTCAATATTTGTTTTGCATTTAGATTAAAATCATTTGTTGTTTCTGCTGCTGTCATGACAACAAGTGTGTTGTTTATTTACTGCAAACACAACACTCATGTAGCCTCATTTTCTTCATAAATTCAGTTTTTTAATTTAGTTTTTCGAATCATGTGACAAAGCCAGAGCTCCCTGCAGATACTGGAAACCATTAGAGATGAATGTAATTCTTTATCTCACTCATCTTAATCGTTTCCCTGCCACCACAACATCCTCCCTCAGAAATAACCACACAGAACAGGCATCGTCTGACCTTCACCTTGCTGAGGCTTCAGCAGTCCTCACAAACGAAACCTGAACATTCACTCGACTGTTGTCAGGCTGAAATGCTCCAGTGATGGAGAGGTGTGTCTCTGCAGCTGCTGTAATTGGTAAGTTTAGCTGCAAGCTTTTTATCGGCCCACGTGCCTCCTCACGCCCGGAGCGCTCGTTTAACAACATCTCGTTCTACCTGCTAAACTCTGCGGCACCATTCAGCCTTTATCACCCCCTGACTCCATCTTCATTATGAAGGAGCCTCGTCGTTAATATTCTGGAAGACGAGTCTTTGTCTCCAGTACATCACAGAAGCTAGTTAGGGAGGAGCTGTGGCTCGGAGCACAGAGACAGGGGACTTGTTAACCGCCAGTCAATATGTATTAGTCCGTGCTTCTGTCTTTATTACTGCGTTTGCCCTTTGCAGCTTCTCCCAACAATATGGCCCCTCCTGTGTCAGCCGGAGCTATGTGTTAATGAGCCAGGAAGAGAAATGGTGCCAGTGGTTAGAAGTTCAATAAAAGATTCAGATAAAAGTATCAGCTGCTGTCGTGGCCTCAGGACATATTTAGTGAAAATGCTTCACAATCTTCAAGGAAAGAGGAAATGACAGTACATGGATGAAACAGTAGAAGAGAAAGTAATATTGCAAAAGATTTTTCTTCTTTAAGAAGATTCTCATATTTTAACCAGGTTCATGTTCTCCAGCTTTATTTACACATGTTCATCGAACACACCCACAACGAGGGGCAGAGTGATTTCATTCATCAGCTCCACACCTGGCGTTGGCTGGAGAATCAGTCCAGAATAATGGGTGGAGCTCCACCATCATCACAGTCAGACATCAAGAGTCCTCACTCCGGTCGCTAATGATGAATTAAACCCAACCTGCCATGCAAATGAGCCTGTTCATTAACACAAATGATGAATTAACGAGCAGAGATTTCCATCAGAGTCGTGTGATCTTTTCAAAGACGTCAGTTTTTACACATTGAGATGCAAATTAATGCAGCGTATCTACAATCTAATCAGGTGATCTGTTGGAGGAGGAGCAGCTGCTTGACCCTCGTGAACCTCCTGCAACCTGATGTTCTTCAGCTGCTTCACACACACACGCACACGCACGCCTGCAGAGCTTCTCATCCCCGACAGTCTGATTCCAAATGAGACTCTCATCTCCGTCCCCTCACTCCTGTTTTATTTGTCTCTTCGAACAACGTGTTCGACTCTGTGTGACTCTGACGGCAGCTCTTCAGGTTGAGGGCTGATTTTAGTTTGAACTTGTCATGGTGGTGATTTTACCACCTGACCATATGATACTTTCAGGCCAACGAAAGAAACAGAAAACCAGATAGCACTGCCTCCACCAAGGAGTTCATGTCTATAGCCGCCGGCAGCTAGGTCACGTTGATGTCTCACAACAATCGCAGCCAGACGAAGTCCCTCCCAAACACAGCTGATCTGTGATCTGTGTCATGGGTCAGAGGGAATGTCAGTCTACATGTACTTTCCCCTCCACGCTCCACACAACCCCTGTTTTTATGCAGCCTCCTCTCAAACCTACAGGAGGTGTGTTTTCGAGGCTGCAGTGCAATGAACTGGACATTTTGCATTTCACTCCCACAATGAAAAACAAAGAGAGCTAAGACATTTAAAAAAAAAGATAATTTCTGAGTCAGGATCTCAGGGTGTGAGGTTTGTTTTCCTCCAGCAGCAGCAGACGTGTCCTCTCTGACAGAAACACAGAGAATTAGAGCGAATGATAAAGTGTCCGAGCAGTTAGACAAAATAAATCACAGAGCTGTGGCAGCTCTTCTGGATCCTCGGGCCCAGATGTGCTGCAGCAGCACGAGGTCAGGCAGGTGCTCGTGATCAGGTCAGGGTCATCAGACATGATGTCAGAGACCAACACCGCTCCAGCTAATGTTCACTGGGCTGTTGAGCTTCCTGTCTCCTGTTCTAACATCTCACCTCTGTTCGCTGCGGATCAGGAAGTTTTACTGATTTTCATAAAGTTATCCTTGGATAAAAGTAATGCTGCAACCTGCAAATATCGAAAAATTATATTTCATCATTGTTTCTT